TTTAGGGTTTAGGGTTTAGGGTTTAGGGTTTAGGGTTTAGGGTTTAGGGTTTAGGGTTTAGGGTTTAGGGCTTAGGGTTTAGGGTTTACGTGATTGATGTACAGCTTTTGGTTGCAGGGACCGCCTAGGGTTTGAAGTCTAGGGCTTTTGACCAATGTCCTTTAAGGAAAATATAAAACATTTTAAATAGAGTTTAGGGTTTAGCGTTTACAGATTAGGGTTTAGAGTTTAAGGTTTCCAGCTTCAGATTACACGTTTAGTGTGTTAGTGTTTGGATTCTAAGGTTTAGGGTTTATTTTCGAGGGTTGAGGATTTAGGTTTTAGGGTTTAGGGTTTAGGGTTTAGGGTTTCTGTTACGTTTAATTAATTAAGGGCATGTAAAACGACGGCCAGTGAATTCGAGCTCGGTACCCTACTTTCTCCTAAGCGTGGCGTAAACCCTAAACCCCAAACCCTAAACCCTGAAGAATGCTGTAAGTCTCTATGGCAGCGCAGAATGAATATTGCAGTAGAAATGCTCGGGATCAAGGGTTTAGGGTTTGGGGTTTAGGGTTTACGCCACGCTTAGGTGAAAGTAACGGTATTGGGCAACTGAAGTCTAGAGTCCTCAGCTCTGGCAAACCCTAATTTAGGGTTAGAACCGCCGCAACAATAGCGGTGCCAGACCCTGAATTAGGGTTTACTTATTCAATTTTTCCTAGGGTTTAGGGTTTAGGAATTCTTGCAGTGTTTTTTACACACTTACACAGAGGCCCTCATCAATTCTTGGGATTAGGGTTTAGGGTTTCGGGTTTAGGGTTTGGCGTTGAGTATTTAGGGTTTAGAGCTTGGACTTTAGAGCAGTTTAGGGTTTGGGGTCTAGGGTTTAGCAAATATCTCAAGCAGCGCAGATTGACCGTGCATCCATTCTCTCCCACATTGTAAACCCTAAACCCTAAACGCTTAACCCTAAACCCTAAACCCTAAACTCGAAACCCTAAACCCGAAGTGCTGGTTTCCAAACAATAGAGGCAAAGCCATGAACCTTCATAAGCCCTGTAACTCACCATTAGGCTCACCCTAAACCCTATGTGCTAAACGTCAAAACCCTAAACCCTAAACCCTAAACCCTAAACCTTAAACCTTAAACCTTAAAACCTAAACCCTAAACACGAGATCTGGACAAAGAGAACGGCACTATAGCCAAGTCCAGAACATCTCAGTTAATTGATTTTTTGCAGAGATTAGGGTTTAGGGGCTAGGGTTTAGCGTTTAGGGTTTAGGGGTTAGGGGTTAGGGTTTAGGGTTTACGCTTTACGGTTTAAGCTTTAGGCTTTAGGCTTTAGGCTTTAGCGTTTAGGGTTTAGGGTTTAGGGTTTATGGTTTAGGGTTTAGAGCTTAGGGTTTAGGGTTTAGGGTTTAGGGTTTAGGGCTTCAGGTTTAGCTGCAGATCAGTATCTAAAACAAAAGTAGGGCTGGAGCGTTTGTTCATTTATTTATTTTCAACTGAGATTAATTAAAATAAAATAAAATAAAATAAAATAAATTAATTAAATTAAATTAAATCAAATTAAATTAAATTAAATTAAATTAAATTAAATTAAATTAAGTTTCCAGGGTTTGTGTCTTGGGTGGAGACGCCGACAGAGCACGACGTCACGCAAACCCTAAACCCTAAACCCTAAACCCTAAACCCTAATCCCTTACTCTACACCCTAAACTCTGAGTTTTAAGAATAAGCCACTAGTTTTAAACCCTGGAGCTGAAACCCTGAACCCTAAACCCTAAACCCTAGCTCAAAGACAGCGATCGGCAGCAGCCGCGGTCCACTCGAGACACAACGCTGGGGGCTGTTGAAACCCTAAACCCTAAACCCTAAACATTCCACTTTCAACTATAAACCCTAAACCCTAAACCCTAAAAAAATACACACACCAACTTTGCGCCTGGCGCTTTCACCAGTTGCTGTAGCTAGGAGGGCCCCCGGGGCCCCCACCAAACCCTAAACCCTAAACCCTAAACCCTAAACCCTAAAGCCTAAACCCTTAATCCCAAACCCTCAGCTTCAAAGTCTGGCAAAGAATATCAAATAACACTAAAGCAAGGGCGTTGGAAGCTGTAACAACAGCAGCAGCGACAGCAGCAGCAGCAGCAGCAACAGCGGCAGGAACAGCGACAGCAGCAGCAGCAGCAACACAAGAAGCAGATACAGTGACAGCAGCAGCAGCAAAGACAGCAACAGCAGCAAGCAGCCACCAACACAGCACCAAGACCAGCAGCAGCAGCGGCAGCAGCAGCTGCTGCTGCTGCAGCTGCTGCCGCTTCGCAAGAACCTCATGCCCTCGCCTCGAGTTCCCATTCTGCTGCTGCTGCTGCTATTTGCTGTAGCAGCACGAGTGAACAGCAGCAGCAGCAGCGTCTGCAACAGCAGCGACAGAAGCAGCAGCAGCAGCAAACAGCTGCAGCCAGATGCTGCAGCAGCAGCTGAGCCTCTCCTTGTATGGAAAGGGTCCCTAAAGGTGTACCCTCACCATCATCAGAATGAGCGGCAGCAGCAGCAGCAACAAGAGCAGCAGCAGCAACAGCAACAGCAAGAGCTGCAGCAGCAAGAGCTGCAGCAGCAAGAGCTGCAGCAGCAGGCTCGCGTACATAAAGTTAAGAACAGCAGCAGCGACAGCAACAGCAGCAGCAGCAACAAGAACAACGCAGCCACCAGCAGCACAGATAGCAGCAGCAGCAGCAACCACATTGGCAACAGCAACAGCAGCAGCAGCAACAGCAGCAGCAGCAGCAGCAGCAGCTTTCGGTGGTTTAAGGGCTTGAATGGTCTTCCCTATTCCGCTCGCTTCTGTGGCCCCCATCTCTGCATTAATGACGAGCCCACTCTCATCATTGCTGCAGGTAAACCCTAAACCCTAAACCCTAAACCCTAGTGCTTAGAGGCGGCAGGGGTAGACAGCTTGGGACGGACACTGGAGAGTGGGGGTTTAGTGTTTGAGGTTTAGGGTTTGAGGAACTTCGTTTGGGCCTGCCACCGAGGGTTTAGGGGCTAGGGTTTAGGGCTTAGGGTTTAGGGTTTAGGGTTTAGGGTTTAGGGCTTAGGGTTTAGGGTTTAGGGTTTGCATGTAGGCCTGCCCCTGCCTTCTTCATTCTCTTCGCCCGTTCAAATCCGCCGCATTTTGAAGGCAGCAAAAGGAGGAGGGTTTAATGCCATTAAGCTTTCTTTGTCCTGGAATGGTAACCCTTAACCTTAAACCCTAAACCCCAAACCCTAAACCCTAAACCCTAGACGAGTCCAAGGAGCTGTTCATTGCCCCCTCCCATCAAGTCCCCTGTTCTCCTCCCGCCTCCCGTATGCGTCTGCCTCACCCCAGCCTGCACCCCCTAGGGTTTAGGGTTTAGGGTTTAG